CCATCTCCTCATCTGAGTCATCCTCCCAGTCTTTCCAGTTGTTGAAGTCGACACTGAGCCAACTCAGCTGTGAAAACACAAAATCCACATCTCTCATTAATAGTGATTTAATGCATTTAAACAATAGCATTTTATGACATTCTGATGCATTAATTAAGAGCATTGTACTGTTAACTGTTTTCAAATGTAAAGACAGTGTTAGCTTGTGTTTAACTGACCTTAGCCTTTTCTTTTGTTAGCCTCGGCCATGCCTTCCCTGGCTGTGCTTTTCGTAAATAGCACAACACTGAGCGATCTGTGCGTTTGTGTTTGGATTCCTGCATAGAAGTAGAAAGAAAATCAGTTAATTTCAGCTCTCAAGTGCTATTCACGAAAGGAACGATTCAGATATTCAGTGTGACTTACATTTTCATCAATGGCTTCAAAAAGGTCTACTTCATTCTCATGTTTGACACTGTCGGTTCCTCCAAGACAACTGTGGAAAAAAGACAAAGATACTTATTAACCAATTTCTGGGAAGGGTTACTGACCAAGTGAAACCAAAAATAACAGATTTAACAAAAAATCCATGGTTAAATATAACTTGAGGTCTTTACAAAGAACCAACTTGAGGCAAACGTACCTGAAACCGAACTTTGTTTTATCAAAACTGATTTTAACATCTTTGCTGTCTGCTACACAGAACTCTATAAAAACGCAGTCCCTCCTATCGTACCACTTTGCAGTTGCTGGATGCCTGTGAAGAAACAAAAGGACATCGAAACATTAAACATGTAAACAGTCTGTTACAGAACTTGAGGGTAAATAGTTTTCTAGACAAACTGAGTAGAGTCTTAATTCACCATGCCCATTCAAAGTACAGCTCTTGGTACCTTGTGAGAAAGCTTTGAACAAAACGTTACAATCCGGTTAAACACAAAAACAATAAAATTCCTCTCTCTCCTATTTGTGAACAGCACAGCTCATCAGACCCTAAACTTGCATAAAAAATACATAATGCACGTCAGCTGTGCTGCGCACAGGTGGGTAAGCCTGCCATCAAAAAGCCTATGTATCAGGTTGCCACACAGCATCCAGTTACACCATGCGCTCCTGTATCGAGAAGCCTCCAAAGTGAAACATCTGTGCACACTAAATTGTTAAAAAGTCAAATTAACAAGATGTTTCGGGGCGAGTTCAGCTCGTGTTTCACTACATATGATTAATGTAATGGGTTTCCTCGTGTAGCAGCAAGAGTTCATCAATGATGCTCGATTTAAAATTTGACAAAGTCATGGGTGAGACGGCCCACTCGTATGGGAGCTTCAGAGATCAGTTCAATTTCCTTGGGTGTAGTTATAAGAGGAGAGAAGAATCAATATTAACATTATTGACGTGGAATTTTATTTTTTTTAAAGTATTAAATGATGTTTTATTGTTCACCTATTATAACAAACTTTAGATTACCTACATCAGTGAGTGACACTGCAAACATTACATCAGTGGTTACAACTAATCAATAACGACCCACTGACCTCTATTTATTGATATGTTAATATTAGCACATGAAAGCTGCAAGAGTGGTTGCAGTTTCTCCCATCTGCATATTTACTGACACTATACTCCACTTGGCATTAGACGCATGGTCTCCTTAACCAAATCCTCTTACAAATGGATGGAGGCAGCGTTCAATGCACAATCACAACCAGCTAAACCTTTTCTAACTTTACCACCAAGCCACTCCCTGTTGATACGTGTTGGCTATTTCCACACACACGTCCCGGATCGTCTTTCCTACTGTTGAAAATCACGACTTCTGACCCAGACCTCGTGTTAATGTAATGGTCGCTTTTTCTAGACCAACTCTTTCAATGAACAGCCTCAGCTAAGCTAAGCTAACACCGCTATCGTTTAGTTATCCATGCGGTGCGTCCGACCCATCCTTTAGGTAGAAGTAGCCGTGTTTCGAGGCCAATGCCGGGCCACTTTAACAACTGGACCGGTACATTGTGTTCTTTTAGCCACTGTATAAGGGTCGCAGCTAGTTGGCGAGGCACCGTAAGCTCACGGTCCGCAGGGGGAAGGCCGAGCTCCCGCCTTTGAAAACGCATGTTGTCACACGGCTAACGCTAAGCTAAGCTAAGCAGGCTTGCACTATCCACACTTTCCCCCTCCTTTTTTTTTCTTCTCCCCTTTCTCTCCCTCCCTTTCTTTCTTTCTTTCTTTCTCGCCGCCGTCGTGTTAAACTCGTCCACAACTTACATGTCTCGGCGCGAAGTTGAGCCTCCCTTTTTGCGCAGATGAAAACCTGGTCTGGTGAAAAAAGAAAGGTAATGCCTGCAAAAAGAAAAACAAGCACCGCTGCCCACAAACAACCAATGCCACAACGCTTTCTCCGCCTGCGGACTCTGCTCCGGATCTTCTTGCGTATCTCTGGTCGAGAATGGCGGCGCTGACGCAGTTGAGCGTACTAGACGTTTCTAGAGCTTTTTTTTTTTTTTTTTTTTTTATCCAAGCCACAGCTGCTGGTTGATTGAAGGAGGGCAGCGGCGTAATCTGCGTGGAGCACATTTAATGCGATGTGCTATGGTGTGTTTGTACCACCCAGTGTGATCGGCTCACACACAGATATTTAGATTAAGACTGGTGGGGTTGTATGTTGTTGGGTTGGGAAGGATACAACATAGGGACGCTGTGCTATAATTTTTAAACGAAACGAAACAGATCATTTTAGTTGCATTATCGATTCTTCTCCACGTTCATAATTTGGTTTATAATATGTCTAATAACTGGCCCTTATACTTTTCCCACCCCCCCAACTAACATATTCAAATGTGTTGTCCAAACAACAAACAATAGTAAATATAATTTAAAAAAATAAGCAAATATTTGTACTTATGATATAATAGCTGTGAATTGTGAATTAAAAAAAAACATTTCCGCTCTAAAAAAACAAACAATACTATTAAAAGCAATTTTTCATTCTAAAGTTCACATCTTAGTTAACTATGGATGGTTAAAACATCACAATGATACCTATAGTGATTTTTGGTGAAGTGAGTAAATAAAAATAGACATTTAACAGCCTCCTTTGGTGAACAAATGTCCCCTTTATATGATTACACATCCCCTGCAGACATTTTCTAAGAAATAAATAAACAATTTGTGTCTTATATGTTTATTCTTA